TCATGGCTGAAAAATTTTAGAGCTCTTACATTAGAGAACATAAGAAACATGTTTCTTAGTTCAGAATGAGAAAGGACATTTGAAATTGGATGTCATCACTGTCAGTGAAGCCTGTAGACACGCTTCTTGTCCCACTGCTCCCAGGACAGATGGAGGGAGGGGCGGAGGGCTCTGAGGAAGGAAGAGAAAGCAAATGGTAGGGCGGCTTCACATTTTGGTCTGTGGCTCGTGGTCTTAGTAAAAAAAACAATTAATTATTTTAGAGTCTTGTAAGGAGAAGGGAGTCAAGGCAATCTGTATTAGTTTTCCATTTCAGCATAACAAATTACCACAGACCTAGTGGCTTAAAACAATATCCATTTATCATCTCAGTTTCTGTAGGTCAGAAATCTGGACAAGGCAAAACTGGTCTCTGCTCAGGGTTGCACAGGCTAAAATCAAGGGGTTGGAAGGGCTATATTTCCACCCGGAGCTTAGGGTCCCCTTTGGGGCTCATGTAGTTGTTGCCAGAATTTGGTTACTTTCGGTTGTGAGACTGAGATCCCTGTTTTATTGCTGGCTGTTGACAGAGGGTCCCTCTGAGCTTCTCGAAACTGTCACCTCCCTACATGGTAGCTCCGGCCTTCAAGAATCTCTCTCCAGCCTCTATGACAATCTTAGATGACAAAACAGAGTCTCTGGTGTGACCGTCTCATTACCCTGCTCATAACATACTCAAAGGAGTGATATCCTATAAATCCACAGGTTCCATCTACACTCAAGGGGAGGGGATTATACATTAGGCAGTGGGAATCTTGGGGTCCATCTTAGAATTCTGCCTGCCACAGAATCTCCCTTAATAGTTAGAATTCACCCGAAGCAACAACCATCAAGCATTTAAAGCAACTTAAAAGAAATGTGCACGTCTGCATTTTCCAAACTGGTGCGCCAGCCTTCTGCAGGACTTGAGTAGATGTCCTTCTACAAAAAGCCTCCGTGGTGGGTTTTATAATATTTAATATGTTTCTATACTGAACAAAGTGTGAAATTTTCCCAATCATTGTTAACCCAGAAAACTTATTTTTGAGTTTGTGCTAAATAAATGCACCACTTTAGTAGTGCTACTGTAATCCTGACATTGCACTGAAGGAGCTGTATGACTACTCATGCCCTGTCCTATTTCCTCTGTGATGCCTTTGCCGATACCTTTGTCTATAAGATCCCCACTTCCCGGAAGTTTGGTAGCACTAATGGTCTACCTCACTTGATTGGCAATTTGCTTGATAAATAGAAAACACTTTTCCTTTTTATTCAATTAAAAAAATATATTTTTTCTTTATTTATTATAGAGAAAGAAGAAAGGAGACACAAAGATAGATAGAAACATTGATGAGAGAGATTGGCCGCCTCCTGCATGCCCCCACTGGGGATTGGGCCCACAACCTGGGCATGTGCCTGTCCGGGAACCAAACTGGGGACCTCTTGGTGCATGGGTTGATGCTCAACCACTGAGCCACAGCAGCAGGGCAACACTTTTCCTTTTTGATGGTCACCCTCTACTAAATTTAATCGCTTTGAAGGCTGGCAGTCTGACTTAAAGCAACAATGTAGAGCACTGGACACAGTTGTGTAGTGGTGAAGCTTGTTGGCTGGGATTTCTGGGAATCTGAGTTATTTTGGGACAATTGATCGGCTTTGGAACTAAGGAATAAACCAGTTTCTCTCTCTGAAACTCTCCTAGCTCATCTTTACATTGAAAGTGCTACGAGAGATGGTTTCTAAGGGCTCTTCCCACCTAATATTTAATACATGCCTGTCCTCAATCCCTGACCCATCGCATAGGGGTTTGTTTTTAAAGTGCCTGGTAAGCGCCTGATAATGTTTCTCCACTGATGACCTGTGAGCTTGCATTGTTGTGGGTCCCAGCGTTTTGTCAGCACTCTCCTGTGTTCTAGGAGGTCGCTGGCTTCCCGCTGGCCAGGGTGCTCACCCTCAATTTTGGGCGTTGAGCTTCTACAACCCTCAGGCCCAAACTGACCTCTGATGTTGGTTTGGCCTTTGTCTCACGTTTCTGTAGAGTCAGCGGTCACCTTCAGCAGCAGGCTGGAGGCACACCCTGCGGAGGTCCTCCTGCCTCAAACTCTCTTCCCTTCCCAATGCTTGAAACTCCTATGAAAGATTCCTCCTCTACTATTTTATCTCAGAGCCCTCTTACAAGTCTAAGTAAATAATTATATGAGAAATTATTTAATAACGCACCCACTAGAAAGTAAGTCACCTTGTATAGGCATGAAATGTGAGCAAGAAATAAACTGCACCAGGATTTGAAGATGTGTGTTTCTGCAGCATGACACGACTTCCTTTGGTACAGAAATGTTCGGAGAAAAAGACGTGAGGTTGATATTTGACTCCCGAGGGATTCTGTGCTTGTGGGGATCTTAGGGGGTAATATCTAAATTCTTGTTGCCCGAAGTGCAGCAACCAGCGGCAGCAGCCTCACCTTGTTAGAACCACGGATTCGTAGGCTCCACCCCGGACCCACTGATCCAGACCCCGCACTTTAACAAGATCTGCGGGTGATTCAGATGAAGATCAGTGTGAGAAGCAATGCTCTGGAGGCAGCTGGAAATGACAGTTGGAAAGACTTGAAATAAATCTGAGCTGGAGACACAACTGTGAGAGCCACAGGTTCTCAGGATGTGGTCCTTGGACTAGCAGCATCACCATCACGTGCGGGCTTTTGAGTAATGCAGATTCTTGGACTGCAACTAGGTCCTATTGAACCGAAAACTGTAAGTCTTATCAACCCTGCAGGTCGTTCTCATACATGCTGAAGTTTAGGAACCACTGCCCCAGTGGTTGAAATGATGGGAGTGACCATTCTGAAAGCAGGAAGAGGGGTGGACAGTGATAACGTTGTTCTCTGAGGAACTGTAACCTGCCTTATGATAACCTTCTTTATGATGTATCTTTTCGAATGTACATGGGGAAAATAAAGGCCTGGCCGTGGACTAGTCTGACCACAGTGGTTGTAACCTCCCAAATCTGCTTTTCTACTGAGCGGAAGTACTAGGACAGTCCTTTGGGTAAAGATGGACAGGACAAAAAGGGAGGTGGGGTCAAAACATCGCTTTGCATTTCACCTACCTGATACCGCTGGGCTTATTATGCTCAGAGCACTGTACTACGTGCTACAGGGAACACTGCCAGTCCAAGCCTTTCCTGGGTTCGAGTCCCCTGGAACAGATTCAGTCCTCTCCCGTTGATCAAGACCGCAGCAGAGTAAGGAGGGGAGCTACAGGTGTTACACCCAAGAGTCTGCAGAGCCACATGCTCAGACACACATTATTCCTGAGCGTGGCTCGTCCCAGTGCATTTTTTCATTTGTTCACTCGTTCACTTCTTCACCCAGTATTTAATGAGTGACTTTTGTGTGGAAGGTCTTCAAGGTCAATGGAGAAGCCTTTTGTTTTGTGCTTAAAGAAGGGATTGAGCCGGGCACCCGCCAGGAAAATCATGCTTCTTCCCTTCGTAGGAGAAGCTCAATGATGCACTGTTACCTCTCCTCTCACTTTAATCACAGAAAAGCCAAGCTAAGTCTGTCTTTAGAATGTATCACATTGTGATTTCCTAGTACTACTGTTCTCTTTTGCAAAGGGGGGAAAAATTGGGGATTGAGAAAGTCAAGGAGCAAAATGCATCCACAGCGGAACACAGAATGTTTCCATCCCTCCAAAGCTGTCCAGCTAGGCTGTGTGCTAACTCGTTTCCTATCAGGGGAGTGATCCATCCATCCATCCAGGTGGGGGTTGGCAGTTCTGGCTACAAATTAGAATCCCCTGATAAGCCCATGAAACTATCAAGACCAAGACCACTCCTCAGACCAATTAAACCAGAACCTCTTGGAATGAGATCCAGACACCGGTATTTAAAAAAAATTTCTGGGTGATACCACTGCACAGGCAGGGCTGGGAAGCACTGTTCCAGGGAGGGTCTAGGGTCTCAGGTGTTGGCCCTTTATGGAGCTGAGCTTCATTCCCCGAAAGTCAAAGTCCTAGTTTCCCAGGATTCTCAGCTCAACGTTTTCAATTTCAGGAGTTTGTTTTAGAATTCAAAGTGAGCTGTTAAATTTAAGCCACTGTATTATGTTGAATATTCAATTATCTTCTATATTTATATGGTTGTTACCAAAATTCAGATGTAAAATATTTAGTCAAAAGAACAATAATTTTTGTTTTCTTATTTAACAAGGAATGTTGGTAATAGATCTGCCTTTTAGCCTTTTTATACTACTTATGAAATAGAAGATAATCAAATTCATGCATAGAATATATGTATGATATATTATATACATATATAATATAATATACACATATATAAATATATATTTAAGTATAAATATATATATGATGATAGATGTGAACACTTATTTAAAAATATGTTTTCATTGATTTTTTTTTTTTTTAGAGAAAGAGGGAGAGAGAGAGAGAAACATCGATGTGAGAGAGATACATCAATAAGCTTCCTCCTGCACGCCCCCCACTGGGGGTCGAGCCCACAACCCGGGCATGTGTCCTGACGGGGAATCCAACTGGGACCTCTCAGTCCACAGGACGATGCTCAGTCCACTGAGCCACACCATCCGGGCAATGTGAACACATTTTGATAACAAAGCAGCACAAAATATGAATTATTTCGAAGTTCATAAAAGAGTAGTAATAAACACTTTCTTGATTATAAAATGGCTGTGAGAGCAGTCAAAGGAATAGGATGCAGATGACAAATGAGTTGACCTTCTAAACTGGCAATGTCACTTGTTACAGTCTGAATTCGGCCATAATAAGATTATGAAGACAGAAGAAATGTTCCATGGTCTGGCTTAGAGACAGAACCTACATGTGATGTAAATCTCATTTTCAGGTTGTCACTCACAGTGACTGGTTCTGTTGCCCCCCCCCCTTTTGTTTTAATCTCACGCTGCCCAGCTCCTAGGCAGCCCCGTCTCTCAGGGCGACTCTTACCTCTTGGGGTTGTTGGTACCGAGAGGCCATCAGAAGGAAAGCCCGCTGGGCCTGGAAAGCGCTGAGCACCATTTCTGCCTGGGAACGAAGAGGAAGAGGGAAGTTTGAATGTTGGAGCTCCTAGACAGAGTTACACGTGACCCAGAAAGTCCATTCCTAGGAAAATAAAAAAATGTGTCCATACAAAAACTTGTATATAAATGTTCTTAGTGGCATTACTCTTAACAGCCCAGATGTGGAAACAAGGAGAATGGCCATCAACTGATGAATAAATAAATGAAATGTGATATATCCATACAATGGAATGTTATTTGGCATTAAAAAGAATGGAAGTGCTGATGCATGCTACAACATGGCTGAACCTTGGCAACACTGTGCTGAGTGAATGTAGCCGATCACGAAAGACCGCATTTATGTGATTCCAATGGTATAAAATGACCAGAATAAGCCCATCCACAGGGTCTGGTGGGAGGGACAGATGGGGAGGGACTACTAATGAGGATGGGTTTCTTTTGGGGGCGATGAGAATGTTCTGGGATTAGACAGTGGTATGGTCACAACTTGGTGAGTATACTAAACACTGCTGAGTTGTACAATGTTAAAAAGTGGATGTTATGATATGTGAGTTATATCTCAACAAAGCTGTTAAAAAAATGTTTGAGCCCCAAAGTGTTTTCAAAGGGTATCTCTCTTGTCCTCTTTCATAGTGTGCCCAAATCTGTTCTATACCTTCTGGTGGAAAGATAATTGTCCCTTAAGCTATCCCCATAACAATATGAGAGTTAGTGGCTTCTTCTGGGTCCAGGAGAGATTTCAGTGCTACCTGGACTCAACTCCAGAATGGAGTTGGGTGGATGGAATTGTCTTCAAACATAGGGTATCGTATTTTTTATCCATACATATCCTCTACCCACTTTTAGCTAATTAATTCTTTAATGTTTTTAAATTAAAAAGTTACAGAAGAATACCAAGAAGAAAATAATTCCAAATACATCACCCACAAATGATAATTTTTGGCTGTTTTTTTTTGTTTGTTTTTTTTTAGTTTTTAAGAAAATTTGCACAGTTGTTTTCATAACACAAACCATGATGATTTAGAATAGGTTTTTAAATGACAAAGGTTGCAAAGATTAAAGTTTTTAAAAATACCTCACAACTTAGAAAAAATCATTATTAACATTAGCTGAACATTTAAGATACATGTAGGTGCTATTAAAAAGTATAAATTTTGCCCAGCTGATGTGGCTCAGTCGATTGAGTATCGTACCATTGGACTGAGGGGTCCTGATTCCAGGTCAGGGTACATGCCCCAGTTGGAGGCTTGATCCCCAGTAGGAGGTGTGCAGGAGGCAGCTGACTGATGTATCTCTCTCACATCAATGTTCTCTCTCACTAAAAAAAAAAAATCAATAAAAAAATCTTTTAAAAGTATAAATTTAATTGTAATCGAATAGTAGAGATGAAAGAGAAATAATTTATAAACTTCAAAGAAAAGTTTCTGCACTATAATATTTATGCCTTAAATGATCATTCTAAGGTAAAAAAAAAAAAAAGCAAAATATGAGATTGGAATAATTATTTGTGGCACTTTAAGGCACATGATAAATTTTAGGGAGTATTGATTGGGAATCAGTAGGGAAAGATGAAAACATAAGTACTTTCTCACTTCTATCTTTTGTCCCCTATCTTCCATAGTTTTAGTGGTTGTTTTTTTTAACCCAATTGATAGCATTCATATTCTCCCTGCAATATTAATTCCCATAGTTGTTTAGGATTAGTTCTATATTTAAATATACCTAGTGGTTCTCCCTGGCCATTTTACTACAACTTCTCCATTTCTGAGTTACTTCGATGTTTTTATTGGCTAAACTCTCATTATCCAGTACTTTCTTCGAAAAAGTCTCAAGGTTGCTTTAGCTCTTTAGGATTAAGCCGGTCTCCCTGCTGTCTTCATATTTCACAACATCTTGGCTGGATAGAACATCCTTGGGTCTTTCTCTCCATTTTCAGATAGCCAGCTTGGATTTTTCCTTCCTCGTAGGAAATTGACTTTTTGTGGTTAGACATCTGAAGAATTATTTCTTTATCCTTGGAGTTTAAGAGCTTAAACAGATGTTTAGGTTTAGGTTTAGGTTTTGAGCATTCCATATTATATTTCCTGGAATAGATGTGGTCCTTCGTTTCTGGGAAATTTTCTTCTATTTTCTCAATATTCCTTCTACTTCATTTGTTAGAATCCCTATTCAGGGACTCCCATTATACTCCTCGGATTGTAAGATATTTGAATGTCTCCATATCTTTTAGTTTCTTTCTCTGCCTTTAATTTCCTTATCTGTCATCTGTATTTACTGTGATTATATGAATACTTTTCTACTGTTAGTAACTAGATTTTCAACAGGATTTCTTATATATGTTAATGTTTCTATTTACATGATTTCTACATTAATGTTATTTTTGTTCTTGATTTGTTAGACTTTCAGTTTTTCTTTTCATTTCATTCTTATTGTTTTAGCACCTTGCTTTACACTTAAAAAAATACATTCATACTCTTACTAAGTTCTGAGAATATGTTATATTCTTATTAAACCATTGTAAGCAATCCATTTCTGTTTCTTTCTTCCTTTCTTTTCCTTTTTTTTTTTTTTTCGAGAGAGAGGAAGGGAGAGGGAGAGAGAGATAGAAACATTGATGAGAGAGAACATTGACTGGCCGCTTCCTGCATGCCCCCCATTGCAGATTGGGCCCACGACTTGGGCATGTGCCCTGACCGGGAATCGAACCAGAGACCTCTTGGTGCATGGACTGATGCTCAACCACTTGCCAAACTGGCCAGGCCCATGTCTGTTTCTTTCTTTTTTTTGGTACATGCCCCTAGCAGAAACCAAACCCGGGACTCTCTGGTCCGCAGGCTGATGCTCCAACCGCTGAGCCAAACCGGCCAGGGCCCATGTCTGTTTCTTAAGTATTGTTTTCTTTGAGGGCTAGTCTGTCTTTCCTCTGCATGCTGTGTTCTTTTCTGACACACTATGTAGCAGCCATGGAGTGATTCCTTGAGCCTTTTGCCACTGTATCAGAGGTCAGTTACTTTTCCCTCTCAAGCGACAGTTCGAGGGCTAATTGGCTTGTGTTGTCCCTACTCTTTGAGGGCCTGATGGAATGGGGGGGAGGGAAAGGGAGAGTTCAGCTATCCAGTCTTTATTTGAGAATTTGGGTGCTCATTCCTCTGGAAATACGTTAAATGTCCTGTATCAGGATTCATTCACCTACTTGAAACATAGGCCATCCTGATGAAGATTTTAGATCATTTCTACACTGCAGAAGCCGGACATGAAGCCTTTACATATACACAGGGAAGCACTTCCATGGTTTTCATTATATTTTCCTCTCCTGATTTTACCTTTGTTAAAGGTATGTTTTTAAGGGGGTGGGGAATAGAGATAGAGGCAGGAACCAAAGTCTGCTTGGCCATCAGTTACCATAAAGTATTGCTTTAGGTTATGGCTTTCTTGTTTAGTTCCTATCAGTGAATTTTTAAAAAACCTGTTTTCCCCTCATTTTTGAGAAGGGAAAAATTCTGATTTAGTTGCATTTGGTCATAAATTTAGATTTTTTTTATCCTTGTTGATTTCATCTTTAATCTCATCCTTGTTATCTTCACATCTGTTTTGGGTCAGTTTCTATCTTTCTGTCTTCTTGGATAATGGCTTACATCTCTGAGAAACAGGTAAGAACTAGTTTGATACATTTCCAAAAACATAACTAGAATAGCAGCAATAGGATTCGGTTAATTTCATCCCCATGTCAATCAATATCAGACAATTTTCTGGGCTGGAAGGGTAAATGTGTTAGCTAACTGGGAAATGACTAGTTTTTGTCATTCTACTTCATTATCATGTTTTGGTATCTGACAAATTTTCTAAAATATTTACTGAACTCTTGTTTCTAACTTTTCTTGTTGTTTTTCACCCAGTGATTTTTTTTCCTACTGAGAAATGCTTGAAATCAAACCAAAATTAGTGGATCATTTATTTGAAAATCACAAATTCAGTCATCATCAGTATAACAGATTAAGTCTCATAAATGTTTAAATGAGGGTATAGTTCCCATTTTGGAATACACCATCTCCTCTTCTCTTTGTTCTGGTCTCTGATTGCTGGGATTATATTGGAAGGAACAGAGGATTTTTAAATTTTACTGGAGGTCATTATGACCCTATAAATGGGAAGCTCTGAACTGCATGACTGTTTACCCGTGTATCAAAACCTGTATTTTCAGTGATTCAGAAGGACTGTTGTTGCCTGTAACAACCACAATTCCAAAGAGAAAGCTCTGAAGTACAACTTTCCATAACTTGGATATAAATGAAATAATTGCACTTCTCCCAGCAACAATAATTTGGAGGTATTGTCCTCATCTATGAAAAGCCTTGCAGAGTCGACTGAATTATAGTTGCTGTGGGAACAGTAATTTGGGATCGCCTGACTTCTGTAGTTAAAATTGCAGCTCAGAAGTAACATTAACAATATTTTTGTACTTATCCCAAGATGAACACTATCATTAGCCTGTTTTACTTTCTCTAGAAACATTTAGCCTGTTGCTAATAGAGCAGTTTTCTGGTGGGTCAGATTAGTGAAGATGGCCAATTTCATTAATTAGTCTCTCCCACAATGGCCTCTCACTCAACAACACGGGCGGAGGTTGGAGCAGAGAAGGCTGAATATCTAGACATCCGCTTCCATGTTCCCTTTCACTTTGCTTGTGCAGACAGATCTTTCTGAGGATTCAGCTATGTGCTTCTTACTGCTCTCTGGAACTCTGGCAGAATCAGCAGACTCTAAACCATATTCATTTTTAACCTCTTCGGCCCACGTTTCAAAGGATTTTTATTCCATCTTTGAGATATTCTAATCCATCTGCTTCTTGCTTCTGGAAAGTTCCATGAGTTCCCTCAACCAGACAGTATCCTATTTAAGAGGAATTTTACTGAACCTGCTGAGTTCTGATAACTTGAAAGGGAGAATTTGGCTCACTCAGTTCAAAACATTGTGAAAGAAAAGGCCAAACGTAGGGATTTTCAG